TCGAATTGGGATTAAGTCGACCTGCGTTATCGAACCCCTAATTAAAAATTAAAAAATGGGCGGCGCACCGCAACAAGGGCGCGTGTTTGACACTACCAACAGACAATCCAACGTCTTTTTCATTATTTATTCCCTTCTTTTCAAACGTTGCGTGGTTTTATTTTAAAATTTAGAGTATTTTATAATTAATTTAAAAGTAAGTCAGTAAAATTTGAATTATTTGTCTAAATAATAATTCAATATATATTTTTCTCCTTCCTCAAATTCAACCCCTTCAATCATTTCAAGGACAAATCGCTCTCTCTCTCTCTCGAGCACGCACAGTCTCTCTCTCTGCTCGTTGCATCGCGGCCCTTAAAGCCCTCAACCATCGCCTTGCAGGACAGCAATTGACTGAGTTTTTTTGGCGATTTCTCATCTGGGTCTGGTACATTTTTTTCTTTGGTTTCGGTTTCCGCTTTCAATCTGTCTTTCTGGACGGTCAGTTTGGTCGATTTGGTGTTTCTTGGATGCCTTTGTGTTCTTGATTATTGAGTTGTATGGTTCTGATTTTGTTTCTTGAGTAAATACATATCAATCTGTAATTTGTATTTTGTGAAATGGGAAAAAAAAAGGGGATTTTTGGACATCAGGGTTTTGGTTCTTTGATCTGATTTAGGTTTTCTCCTTTGAGGTGCTTTTCTTGCTTTCTGGGCAACATGGTTGTTGTTTCTGTGGGTGTTTGCTTGAAAGATAAAGCTTTCTCCTTTCTATCTCATAGGAAAGATAAGCCATTTGGGTTTTGTTGACTTTATCATATTTGTATTGATATTGATTTGAAGTGAGTGAGCTGGTTTTGTTAATGCCTTTAGGTCTTAGTGGATTTCAGGATTTAGCTGTTCATCGCTCGTGTTTTAGAGGTTTCAAAAGTTATAATAGGCTAGCTTTTGCACTTCTCTTGGCTTTTTGTCGTCTTCGTTCGTTGAACGCGCTGTTGTGTTTGTCTTAAGTTTTAGCTTGAAGTAATTATGCCTGTAATTGGATTGTAATGACTAATGATTTTTGTTTCTGTGAACATATCTTTCAAACATATCTTGTTTTCAGAACTTTATTGATTTATATTTGTGTAAATATAGCAATTGGAGAAAAACAGGCCCAATCTCGTTTGCAGCTTTCCAAGCCATTGATCCCCTAACTGACACTCAGACAACCCTTAGAAAGCCAAAACAGTTTCGTGCTGTCATGCTCAAATCATCTGAACTATGCCTTTATCAGGAAACTAAGTGGTCTGCTTTAGTTTTGCAAAAGAAAGTTTGGAAATGAGAATGTAGAAAAAATAGTGGACAAGACGAAAAAGTGAGAGGAGAGGACTTAATTGTTGCATGTTTGAAATCAAGTCAAACTTGATCCGTGAAGTTAGGTGATGTGCCATAACCATTTAGGTTGCTTCAGTTGTAATTGTAAGGGACATATACAGGATTGGATTGATAGTTATGAGGAATTTATGATTCACAATGCTTTATGGAGGTAATGTCATGTCCAGTATAATCATATTACTTTGGAAACTTCATAATCAATCAAACTATATTGTTTGATTGATTGGCTCTTGGTATCCAGACTCTTGCACGGGCCAAACAGTGGTCTCAGTTATTCTTAATCTCTACCAACCTACTTGCCCGCTGTCTGCATTACAGTTTCTATGTTATTGTTGGCAATCAAATGCTAATAATACTCTGTTTAACTTTTGAGCGGCAAGGGTTTGTGCCTCGTGGTTGTTTGTTAGTCTTCTATTTTTCATTATGAGACATGACTGATCTTACTTCTACTTTCCTAATTTTTCATATTAAATGCTAGTTTGTTATTGCAGGTATATCCGCTTACAACTTGCCGTATTCTAGCACTCTAATCAGTGCAGTTGGGAATTTTGTGGCACATAAATAAGCTGAGTTGCTGGTTCTCTTTTGGTAGCCAAAGTTTCTTGAGGACTTCATTCCTTTTTTTCTTATGGTAATGTTCTGTCTCTGTACATAAAAATTCATTCTTTTGTTTTTCATCATTGCTTAACTATAATAAATTATAACATGATAGTTATATGGACTAGTATGGTCCAGTCCATACACTGGCACTGGACTATTAAAGGCAGATAGATCTTTTAATGGCATGCTATTCTCACCCAAAACTAATTTAAGATTTTTTCATTCTACTTTTAAGAGTAGATGATGGTTTAACAATCAACAGCAATATGTATGCATGGAACTCCATTCCTGTAGTAAATAACTAATCCTTGTAATATTGAAACATCGCCATGGGAATATAGCAGTTCAGAGTTTATATGCACAAATAGTTTGTTTTGTTTATGGAGTCTATCTTTCTCCCTTGAAACAAATGGATTGTCACGATTGTTCTTAGCTACAAGTTTGCACCTGATGAATTCTTCTTCTTTTTCCTTTCAAACTCTTCCTACAATTCTTTTGGTCATGTTAACATTTCAGGCTACGAATGAAAATCTCCCACCAAATGTAATTAAGCAACTTGCGAAGGAATTGAAGAGTCTTGATGAATCCCCTCCTGAAGGCATAAAAGTTGGTGTTAACGATGATGATTTTTCTATCATATATGCTGATATTGAAGGGCCAGGCATGTACAATTATTTCTTGGCGTAAACTGTAATTTAGTCTTTCGCTCCTGCAGTTTTTGAATAATTTTGAGATGATTACTGAGCTACGACCTTGGCCTTTGCAGCTGGTACTCCTTACGAGAATGGTGTTTTCCGCATGAAGTTGTTATTGTCTTGGGACTTTCCACACTCTCCTCCTAAAGGTTGGTTTGACTATGTTTTATCATAAATGACATAATCGATGATACTATCATTTAAGTGGACATGTCATATTTCTGTTGCCTCATTCTGTTTGGAAGCGTGACCATACAACTGAAGAAAGGTTTTTGTTGATGGAAGGCTTGATATCATTTAACTCTTTAGTCCCTATTCGGATTATAACTTCTGGAATGTAATTGTTGTAGGCTACTTCCTGACTAAGATTTTCCATCCAAACATTGCGACTAACGGTGAGATTTGTGTCAACACCTTGAAAAAAGATTGGAATCCAAGTCTTGGATTACGACATGTTCTGATTGTAAGTTCCCTTGATGGTTGTTGACTTTCTTTCATTTATGCTTATTCATCTGAGATTTTTGTGTTCCCTTACAAACTTTAGTTGGTCTTGGCTTCGTGCTTTGTGATAACAGGTAGTCAGATGTCTATTGATTGAACCATTTCCTGAATCAGCGTTGAATGAACAGGCAGGCAAGATGCTTCTTGAAAATTATGAGGAGTATGCAAGACATGCAAGGTGAGTTATAGTCGTGGTGCTTTGTGTTCAGGTGACTGGAGCAGGGGAAGTTTATATGTAAACCTTTGCATACCTGGTTTTTTTTCATTTGCTTATGAATAGAAAATGAAAGATACATATGCCGACTATAGATAATATTGTGGCATGACTATGAAACTTAAGTAGACTTCACCTCTTGCATGTAGGCTTTATACTGGAATCCATGCAAAGCCGAAACCCAAGTTTAAAACGGGAGCTATTTCAGAGTCGACAACTGCACTGAATGTGGAACAAACTAACACTTCGACACTGAATGCTGATCAAAAGAACACAGCACCTGGTGCTGCCTTGCCAGTGATTTCTGCATCCCCATCCCCACTGGCGCCTATTACAGTCACCACTAGAGGAAACGGGCAGGATCAGCCAGCTGTTGTAGCTCCAATGGAGACTGGAGTAAGTGGGTCTGCTGCGGCTGCATCAGCAGCAGCAACTACTACCGTGAGGAAAGATGGCGGATTGACAAAAGCACAGGCGGACAAGAAGAAAATAGATGCGAGAAAGAAGAGTTTAAAGAGATTATGAAGTTAAGAGGGATAAATGATTGATTGAAAACTTGTGTTATGCAGTTTGTGACTTATTTGTCCTTGTTGTAGCTCCAAAGAGCCGAAACGTGTGTAAGAAATACATGAATTTGGCAAATATGTCTTGGTTTAAATTGCAGTTCAACCTTTTATCTTACCCGTAACTCGCTCTTGAAAACCTGGATGGACCTGTTGGTTTTTACGTTTATTATTTTAAAAAATAATGGTTTATGATTTAATTATTTTACAATGAAAAAGTATACTAAATTCATAAGAAACTCGAGTGTAAAGAGGGGGAGCACTTTGTTTTAGTTAATTTGGCTAAACTTAAATTTCCGTTTCAAAAATACAGTCCAATTTCTTAAAACATCTCTAAAGGAGATGTCAAATCCTAAGTGGAGATATGACTGCATATTTGACATCAAAAATCATTTCGATCGAAATGTTACTTGCTGACTGTATTTGAACATTTGTGTTTAGGAGTCAAATTTGACCAATCAATGTCAAATTTGTTTTTTATTAGTTTAATGTGGGTCTCTTATTCTACTAACATTTCAACAGATAAATTTTGTTTCTAACAATTTTTTAACAAATACAACCTTGTAAAGTTTTACTTTAATGAAAAAAATAATATTTGATAACTTAGTTAAAGAAACGTATAATTTGATATAAGACTTCAAATTATCATATCAGCTATTAATTGTAATTCGACTCCTATCGTACTTGTGTTTTAACTTTGTATTCAAATCTCAAATTCCCAAAAAAAAAAAAAAACAACGCATTTGCAGCTTTATTAGGACACACGAATCAACCTAACAAAAACAAATTCACAACACCCAAATGAAATAAAGTTAAAGTTAAACAAAGCAAGTCAAGACGCAAGAACCCAGGCAACTTTTTCCATAAACGACAAGTAAATATTTCCCGCTGGTGGAAAATCTGAAATAGATGGCATCTTTTTACGAGTGGTTTCAATTTGACAAGGTAAAAATATCATTTTGGTCAATTATTTTCTGATTCCTTTGTTTTAGCACTCCATACAAATACTGGTCGGTCGAGTGCATTCTTGCTAACCACCACAAAGTTTAGAACCTTGTATATTCTACGATTCCTTTACTTTCTTGGGAGGTATATCTCTGCATTTTCATTTCAACTTTATCTAACAAACAACGAGGGCCTACGCATAGACGGTTTTGGTTTTGAAACGCGTTATGGGATAGCTTTAGGATGGATGTTAGTTAAAGGCCTAAAAGACACATTGAAGTTGAAGTGCAAGTTTTGGGAATGCAATGTTAAAAGCACTTCATGGGAGCTAAATACTGGTGAAATCGACCTTCCGAGGACTTTGCCTCCGTATTTGACAACCCTCTCATCATAAGGCATCCACAAGGCCATACTGCTCCAAGGCTAGGTTGGTTTAAACTTTAAACTGGTTTTTGGTGCATATACATTCACAACACACTTTCACACACGTCTATCGTTGCGAAAATGGCCTCAACCTGAACCGGGTTTCGGTGTTTGTAAACAGATGAAGCAGCGTTTGAGCAACCACGCGGTTCAACTACAGCAAGCATCCAAGGCAGTACTACTGCTTCAGATGGTAAGCATCAACTTGAGAACGGTGAAGCCAGAGAAAAACATAACGGCACAGATCTCATTCAATGCAATAACGCTACGTTAGACAGTAAGCATGATTTGGAGAATGGAGACACCAAAGAAAAGATGTTTGGAACACCAGGAAACAAGCACTGCAGTTGACATAAAAACAAATGAAAGAAAAGTCGAGGTTGTGGAGGCAACCCAAGCATGAAGATCTCAAACGCCAAGAGCTGTTTTACTTGTAACTAAATATGTACAACGTACTATTAACATACAAGTACCATTTCGTTCAAGTTGACCTTAAGAAAACAACATGAGCAATCTGGTGGACAGTTTTACTAATACTGGATTACCAAAGCTGTCTTACTTGCAATTAAACATATACAACATACAATTAACACACACAAGTAGCATAAGCATTTGGTTCAAGTAGGCCTTACATAAACCGCATCAGCAATTTCCGTCATCCACAAGCAAGTGAAAACACTCACTGCCATTAGCAAACTCTTCACCATGTGCAGCCTTGCAATGCAGGTACAATCACTCCAAATAGCACTGCAAGTCCCCAATTCTTCCACCCAGTTGCCACATTCAACCCCATTTCCAAAACCCAGCTACACACCCCCAAAACCCCAGATACACGCTCAAAAACCAGCATCAAACATACCTCAATCCTCCTTGTTCCATTGACACATCCTCGCGCTTCGAATCAAGGAATCGAAACCCCAAGGGGATTCCAGTACAACAACCGGAGCCAGAGTCCAGAGTGAGTGAGTACCTGATCCAATGATGATTCTGTGTATTTGTTGAAACACATATTTTATTATACAAAATAGTCCATGTGATTTGCATGGTCAATAGAAATGGTCCCTGAGATTGAAAATCAATAGAAACGGTCCCTGAAATTGTTCACCATCCATGATTTTGATTCTTCTGTTAAAACCTCTTTGGGCAATTTTCAAAGCTTTATAACTCAATCGTTTTTTAACCAAATTTGACTTATAATATATCAAAATGAAGATAGTAAAGTGTAGAATAAGATTATACCTATTTGGAAACCAAATGGTTGTCGGAGATGGCCGGCAAAATAGCCTGAAAGGTAACTGGTCCGCGGAAAACTGGAAAACTCGCCGGAAACTGGGTAAATTTTAAACGTTCATAACGTCTTCAATACTCAACGAAATCGAGTGATTCAAAAACAAAAATCATACTTCTTGATGAGATGAAGAGAATGATACCTATTTTGAAGGCTAACTTGCCGTGGTTTGGTCGGACAACAGCTCGAAAGTGACTAACCATTTTCGAGTTAGCCACTTTCGAGCAGTTTTCCGGCCAAAAAACGGCTAGTTAGCAGTAAAAAAAGATTTCATTCTCTTCATCTCGTCGAGAAGTATGATTTTCATTTTTGAATCACTTGATTCCGTTTAGTATTGAAGAAGTTATGAACGTTTAAAATTTACCTAGTTTCCAGATAGTTTTCCAGTTTTCCCGCGAACCAGTCACCTTTAAGGCTATTTTCCGGCCATCTCCGTCAATCATTAGGCTTAAAAATGGTATAATCTTGTTCTACACTTTCCTATCTTCATTTTGATATATTATGGGTCGAATTTGGTTAAGAATCGATTGAGTTACGAAGCTTTAAAAATTGCCCAAAGAGTTTTTAACGGAAGGATCAAAATCATGGATGGTGGACAATCTCAGGGACCATTTCTATTGATTTTCAATCTGAGAGACCATTTCTATTGATCTTGCAAATCTCAGAGATTATTTTGTATAATAATCCTTTTTTTTTTCACAATGGAAGCTGATTATTTCTGCTTTCCCTCACACAAATTTTATGAATTGTCAAATTTATTTATCTAATGAATTATAAATTGTACTCGAAATAAGGTTCCCTAGTCAGCATGAACGAGTTGGAAATATAACCTACTCATAAAACAAACAAAACATACAAGATTAGATCAAACATCATGATATCTGAAGGCACAAACCTGAAGAGCGGCACTACCCACCTCCAATTATCGACTTGCTATCTTACGTCTCCCCCTGCACTAATAACCCGATCACTCTCCACGAGACAGCTTGCAATGTGATCCTAATATCTCATTCATTATTCTGAGGAATAAAACCCTGTACTAAACCAGAACGACCAAACAGGAATGTATCAAGTTTTAGTCACCTTGCTTAGAACAAAGGGGTGGCCAGCCCAGCACCACACGCTATTGTCCTGCAGTCTCCTGCATTAGCCACAAAAAAAGTTTGTTTCAAGCAATAAGAGCAGCAGCCGCAGTGCAACCAGGGTGCCAATCCTTCTGGATAACTCTCTTGGATTTCCGATATAAACCCACCTCAGCTCTAAATACTATATTGGTCTTAACGAATGCCTCGAACAATGCACTGCTGGGACTGCATTTAGAGATAAAGTCAATTACTCAAATAAAATATCCACTGTCAAAAAGAGAAAAAAATGAAGGTAACAAACCTGCTAATCGAACTTATAGCTTGCAGGAATCCTGGAAAAGCTCGAGCTGAAAATTCAGCAGCTGCTGCACCTGCATTTTGTTACAGTTATATATCCTTGTAGCACAGTATTGGAATCAGGTTTCCAGTACAAGTACCAAATACACAATTATAATTAGATAAATCAACAAAACTCACCTCTATGACCATCAAAAGTACCAAAAACATGGATATCCCTTTCATTACACATGTGTGGCTGAAGGAAATGTGTGTCCTCCACGGTCTCCCTTCTGCCACATGTAGCAAGGGATCCCCAAGAAAGCACAGGATGATATGCCAAAGGATCATTTGAAGGCCGAAGCCACATTTCCAAACCATGCTTAGGTTCACAAGCTCTTTTGACGGAATTTCTCCCTCAGTAAACCAGCTAACCCCCTCTTGATAAGCTTCAAGATTGTTGGCAACATCTCTAGGCTGATTACCAAGAGAATTAAGAGAGTCGTGAAAGGAAATATCTGGCTCCTTTCTTTTCTTTCCCTGTTCCAAAATTATAGCAAGTTCAGTAACTATGACATCGAAAGAAGGCATGTTTTGAGAATTTGCATCCCAACATCTCAATATCAATGACAATAAAGTTGATGGCACTCCAGACTCAGGATCAGCAAGAACTGGCCGCAATCCATCTGATACCACTGCTGCTGTAAGTTGCTGCTCTTTGTAGTTCATCTCCAGTACAGTGTGCGCCTGCCAGCATTATACACCAATCAGCTAGTAGCTACCATGAGCTATTCAGTGACATATTTGAGTAGTCACGTTCATAGTGAAAGCATTAAAGCTATGAGAAATTTGTGTTGGATAAAAGCATAATTCCATCAGAAGATGCTGCTTTGAAACTCAAGATCATAATACTGATACTCAGAACACGAAATACATACATGAACGGATCTATAGATGGCAAGAATTCTTACTAAATATAAAGGCAGGTAGTCAGACAGAATAAGTATGTTACAGGATAGAAGCAAAGACTCAGGCGACGAAGCAGCACCAATGTAGGAGCGTTTGCGGTGGCAATGGAGGACGGGAATCTTATCTTATTTTCTAGTTCCTCTTCCTTAGACTTGTACCCTAATTAGCTATAATTCCATGTCAGCCTCTATGCCATTTTATGATTATAAGACATCCACCTTCGTTTAAGACCCTTGGATTTGATAATCCAAAGGCTAAAGAAAGCTGTAAGAATATTCATGAACTTGTTTGTCTCAAGATCCTGGTCCTAGCATAAGAACCACAAACTAAACACTGAGAGTCTAAGACAAACAGCAAAGATCTTTTCATTGAAATGAGCAGTAAACTGATATGATGAAACTGTGATGCTTTGCCTAAATTTTTCAGAGGATGGGATGGTTCCTCCCACCGAGATATTTTTGTACTTGGATGCTCTATTCAACATAAAACCTCTGTAAGTTGATACTATAAAATATAAACCACATCAAATGAAAAGTTCGCAGTTTCGGAATTCTAAGCCCTCTTTCATCCATTAAATATGTTGTTTCCAAGTAATGAATCAATGTTAAACAATACGCTGCCATAAAATCAAGTTACCAGAGATGTAAAATTAAAAATAAAAATCCAACGGAATATGGTGGAAACTTATTTCTGCATAAACCAAAAATGAACTGAAACTTTTAAAAACCAATCCCTTGGGATATATACTATTCACAAAAAGGGGTCGCACGTGACCTCAACAATCAATGCAATCCGAAGATCTGAACAGTTGGACCTCATTCAAGGATCATCCTTGCAAAAAAATCTATGAGATCCAAAATGATTTAGTCATCTAACAATAACATAAGAAATGGACGAACACAAAGTTTTTTCTTAAAGAACAAAAGAGTTCACGGTGATAATCAAATGGTCAAGCAATTTTGGATTTGAATGATTTTTCGCAGGGATGATTCCTAGATGGTGATCTAAAACAGGGACAGTTTGGATTCCAATGATTCTTATGTATAAGTGCAGCCATGTTATTAGCAACAAGAAACATATGACACATCAATCCAACTGTAAATCAACATCTCTTAATATATAGTAAGTTAAGCAAAACACAATTAAGAAAGGCCACCTGGGCTTTTGCACAAAGTTCAGTGTATGAAACAACACCGGTAAGAAGCTCACTGCAAGAGGATCATACTGAAATTTCATATTCATGGGAAAAAGAGGACAAAAATTTAAACCGCATACTTGTCTATATGATAATAAACATTAATAATGATACTACTACTGAAAAGTAAATGATGCGGAACAAAATCTTAGAGATATTTTCGTATAGTTTATTTGTACATTCCTGTTTCTAGTAGTGTTAGGATTACCTCACCTTGAATTATCTCTTGCCTTTCTGTCTTCTAAACCCTGATCCCCCCTTCTGTTCTAGATTTCTCTTCAATCTATCTGCTCGTTCTGTTTTCTTGTTCTCAGTTCTTCTATTTCTCTTATATTCAGACCTAGTTCCTCTTATCTTCTAAATCTCTTTCTGATTTCTAACCTTTGGTTACTTGTTCTACATCAGCAATTTTGGTTACACAACTATTCATTGTGATATGAAAACATTTATATTTATAATTGTACAACTATATTTAATGTTAAGGTATTTTGCACGAAAAATCTTCGAATGCACTTGATCTTTTGAAGAAATGTGGATCCTACAAGGTGCCCCACAGTGTTGTTTGAGGGATCCCTCAATTGAAACTCGTTGTATTTGGGGTTAGGGTGTGTATAATATATTGATTCAAATGAAGTTGCTCTACTTGTTGAGAAGCTGACTCAATTCATGTAACAGTGAGACTCATATAGGA